CTGTGGGAATACAGTGGCGGTGTCCTTTACATGACACGCAAGACAGAATCATCCCTTTGTCATGTATCTGGAGCAAAGGGATAAGAAGTGATACTTCTTAAGAATTGTTATTCCTTGAGACCCGACTGGGAAGCAGCGGTGCAACTTTTCGGTCCGTTGTGAAACCTAAATCATTGTAAGGCTTTGCACCTTGCTAAACTGATGCATGATGGTTTGAAAGGGATGGACGGAGAGGTGATACCATGAGTATAAACTCCATGAAAAAGCTTCCTGTGAAAAAGCAACCAGCTGCAAACAGAAAAGAAGCAGCTGTTCTGCACCCTGCACTATTTTTCTGATTCTTGTCTAGTCTCACTATTTTCACTCCTGAATAAAAGCAGACTCCAACCCTCATTAAGTTAAGGGCCACCTTTTAATTGACCTCACTGAGCTGTGGATTGAGATCATACTGCAGGAAAGGACTCGGTCTGTCCAGGGAAGGGAACAACATCATTAATGTTAATTTTTTTAGGTTTTTTTTTTACCGTGTACTGTTACAGATGCCATAGTCTGCTTGTCTCCACACACACAGATATAATTTCCAGCATCCGTCAGCTCCAGGTCTTGGATGATCAGCTCTGCAACAGCCCCTTCTTGCCTCATTTTGTACTTGTCTGTTGGTCTAAGGGCCTTGTGTCCCTTTTTCCACTCCACTTTTGCAGTAGCCTTGTTCAGTTCACAGCTCAGGGTGGCACTTTGACCCTCTGTAGCTTCTTCGTTTTTCAGTTCTTTGGTGAAAAGCGTTGGCAGGGCTAATGCAATACGGGCAGAAGGGGATCAAAACTGAGAACTTGGAAATCCTCTTTATCAAACCATCAACACATTTTAGCACTGGTCAATTCTGTCATAGAAGCCATGAAGAAGCCTTTAAACACTGGCATTAATAATATTGTAAAAAACCCTGATTATTTGAAAGGGTCTGAGTTTGCCCAATTATTTAGTGTCCTCATATTTTTCAGCTTTGTTTTATAGTATTTTGATATGTACTTATCTAGCTAGCTGATCAGATCGGCAATGATATATCCCAACGGTATCCCCTGAGAATGATTTGCGGCAGCAAATTTAGAGGTATAAAATAAGAGGCCACTTTTCAATGTAAGGCCCAAAGCGTTTCTTTTCCCATGCCAAGAGTAACACATTCCCTTTCAGAGGTCCGTAAAGTGGAGCAGCAAGAAAAACGGGCTGTTGGATTTTTGCAGAGGTAAAATATACATTTTGGAAGGGGAAAAAAGGGTGCAAAAGAAGTGATGGAAACTACCACCGCACAGGAAAAATGACAGCATTTTTGTTAAGATGAAAAAAGTTAATGAAAATGATGGGTTATTAGCTGGGGTGGCACAAGCTGATCATAATTAATGAGTCAGCTGAGAAACATGGACTCAATATCCTCAGTAACTCAAAGGGAAATTATACTTCATTTTGTATTATTGCTAAGGGAAAACTTAAAAACAAGCAAGATTGTCGACTATGGGCCACATCCAAATTGGTCAACAAGGTGCTAAAATGGGCCGTGGGTCACTTTTTAAAATTAATCTACTTAAGTCAAGCCTGCGCTGTCTATCACAAAACCACCGAGGCTCCTCCATTTGGGCTTGGGACCTGGATTGAATCTTCGGCTCACGCTCAGAAATAATCCAGTTCAAACCACACACGTCCATTTGGACTGATCACTTAGGGCAAGGCCCCTGTTCTCCAGGTTTGCTGAACCCCACCGGAGGCACCTACAAGGGTGCTCCGGATTGGAGCGAATGCACTGGGAAACGAAACATTTAAGGGTCTGCACTCTTGATATTCATGCTTATGAATGGAGACGACAAGCAAAGAGGAGCTCTGTCATGAAGAGAAGAGGGGGAAAACAAGGGAAAAAAAGATCAAATACCCCAAATGTGCAAGGAATGGACACAGGGGTGTTATATGAGAAAGCATAATTGGAAAGGGGAGCTGATTCTCGGATGGGGGAGTTTTATCTGGGGTACGCTCTTTATTTCTCTTTACCATTCACTGTCAAGGTGGCTGAAGTCTTCTGGTCTCCGCACACGCAGGTGTAGTTGCCGGTGTCCGTCAACTCCAAATCCTGGATCACCAGCTCAGCAAAGGGACCCTCTTGCTTCATTTTGTATTTGTCCCCGGGTTTCAGAGCCTGATGCCCCTTTCTCCACTCCACGGGGGCAGACTTGCTCAGTTCGCAGTGCAAAGTGACTTCCTCGCCCTCTTTAGCCTCTGTGCTCCTCAGTTCTTCTTGGAAGAGGGTAGGCAAGGCTGAGGGACGCAACGGGCACAGAGACGGGATCAGAACCAGATTACAGTGAGCAGGACTATTTTGTGGGTTATTGGACCTCAATAGATACAATTAGGTACGTGGACACTGCTGCAAGGATGGAGAAAGACTGCAGTGATATGGAGACTTACGCATTTAAAAAGGATAGCGATGGGAGGACAGAGCTGGGCACCTAACTGGACCACGTCAAACCAATACAGCAAGAAGAAATATTGTATATCAAGGTGACTCAGTGTCATCGCACAGCTGAGGATACAAAGCTTTTCAGGCATGAGAGGGAACTTGCCCTCAAAGGAGAAGCAGTGTGTCATTATGAGCACCCAACATCTGGAGTTTCATAGAGGAGATGAATATGAAACAAGTGGAGGTTATAAAGTTTACCGTTTACTGTTAAAGCAGCAGTTGTCTTCTGGCCGCCACAGACGCATGTGTAATTTCCAGCATCCTTTAAATCTAGATCTTGGATAATCAGCTCAGCAAAACGACCTTCTTGTCTCATTCGGTATTTGCCACTCGGTTTGAGCACCTTGTCATCCTTCGTCCACTCGACTGAGTCCACGGCCTTGGTCAGCTCACACTGCAGAGTGGCTGTCCCACTCTCCGTGGCCTCCTCGTTCTTCAGCTCTTTTTTGAAGCGTGCGGGGAGGGCTAGGGGACGCAGAATGAACAGGTATTGCATCAAAATGCCACACGTTTAAGGCAACAGTGGGCCACCCAAAGGAAATTATTGAATTATAATGGACCTTTTAACCTGCCACAACGTGCGTAAGCCAAGCCTGCTTTAGCTGGAAAGACCAGGTCTAGAGCAGACTGTACTATGGGAGTCAAAGTCCCCAGAGCAACACAACTTGTGCGACAGACAACACACAAGGTCCTGGGAGCGAGCAGCACAAAACGTCTCAGCTCCAACACAAATGCAGCGAGACATACATGCACACGGGTGCCTTGTTCCTGCTAAAGGTTCCTTAGAGGCCTGAAAAACATAACACGCGCAACAGATACACAACGACTTTGACTGGGTGGTGGAGAAAGGAGCTGTAGGACAATGTGAAGAAAAGGACGAAGAAAAGGAAATGTCAAACGTAAAGAAAGAAACAGGCAAGGCTGAGGGAGAGGGGGGAGGGACATTTAACAATCTCATGATTTACTTCTGATGTTTTACCATTTACTGATAAGGCTGCTGTGGTTTTTTGGTCTCCAACTATACAGGTGTAATCTCCGGCATCCTTTAGGTCCAGATCACGGATCACCAGCTCAGCAGACGTGCCTTCTTGCTTCATGCGGTATTTGCCGCTTTGCCTGAGAGCCTTGGGCCCCTTCTTCCACTCCACGGCGGCAGACTTGCTCAGCTCGCAGCGCAGGGTGGCTGTGCCGCCTTCTGTGGCTTCCACGTTCTTCAGCTCCTCTTTGATGACCGCAGGCAGGGCTGAGGGATGAAGCATGCAAAGGAAGGTTGCATTAAACATGGTTTAGACTGAGAACAAAAGCAGCTCCTGTGCGGTGGAGTTAGCAACCCATAATTCCCTTCCAGGCCTTGCAAGGAGTAGACAAGGAGAGTGGACGGCCAGTGAAAGAGGCACATGCAAGGAAAGTCTCAGATAAATGGAGGGGCTTTGTCTGCAGAGCAGATAAATTGGCATATTAATTGGCACACTACTTTTCTTTAAAAGAAACAAAAACAAACAGAAAAACCCAACTCTTTTCTCCAGGCTACTGTTCACAGGGGCTGTTCCTGTCTCTCTGGCTCCCATGTACCAACAGCCGCACAAAAATCTGGTTTTGGAACTGCCTACGATGCAGTGCGTAAATCTATCTATCTATCTATCTATCTATCTATCTATCTGTGTGTGTATGTGTGTATGTATGTTTTTATGTATGTATGTATGTATGTATCTATGTGTGTATGTATGTATCTACCTATATGTGTGTGAATGTATGTATATCTATAACCATATCTATATGTGTATGTATGTATGTATCTATCAATATGTGTGTATATGTATGTATGTCTATCAATATGTGTGTGTATGTATGTATGTATGTATGTATCTATCAATATGTGTTTGTATCTATCTATCTATCTATCTATCTATCTGTGTATGTATGTATGTATGTATGTATGTATGTATATATATGTGTGTGTATGTATGTATGTATGTATCTATCTTTCTATCTATATGTGTGTATGTATGTATGTATCTATCTACTTATTTAAATAAAACAGTTTGCAGCAAAGACCCTTCCAACTAGACTTCCAGAGCACAGACAAATACCTTTTCCCAGAGCAGAAGAGAGATTTTACTTGAAGAAATATTTCAAAGTCACTGAAAAATATTATACTGTCAACCAAAGGTCATTGGAGTGGTAGCCCTTAACAGGAGGGGAGTACTTGGAGGACAAGACAAAATGGTGCCTAGTGAGAAACATCCTTCTCCCCCAGCACCCCCAGCTCTAGCAGCACATCGGGGAGGCCCAGGGACCCTTGGGACCCTCAATCCCTCCCCCACCACGTGGTTGTGGGAATGAAGCTGTGGGAAGGCCCCAACCAGAGCCTTACTTATCTGAGATCAGAAGCTGAGGAGCTGTTAAAACAGAGGTTTTGGGATGTTAAGATGTCATCCAGGTATTTCGGATGTGCTGACTGGCTCCTGGCTCCAAGCCCCCTTCAATGTCTCCTCACCTAAGCCCTGAACCTCATCTGGCCCTCTAACCTCCCCGTCTCTTCCCTTGCCCTGCCCCTCACCACCTTCCCTCCTCCCTTTCCCTTCCCTTCTCTTTCTATTTCGAGTCTCTTTGCCCAACTAACCATCTCCCAACCCCTAAAACCATCAGAGAACTCACCTGCTGTTTTCTGCCACCCCGCTGATCTCTGCTATAAATTATACCATGTACCCCTACCCTTCACCGGTGCTCTCCGTGCAAAATGTAATCTCCTTGAGGCAGGGACAATCTACCACCATGCTAGCACTAGGGCAGCAAACTGAGGCCTGGGGTCGATTGGTCCCTGGGCCCTTCTGTAGAAAGCACAATTAAAAAACAACAACCCAGAAACTGGTTAAAACAGAAGCTTTGCCCCTACCACGGATTCGGACTTGAGCGGTCGTCTGCTGGTCTCCGGTATCGCAGGTGTACCTTCCTGCATCTTCAGACTTGGCATTGTGGATCACCAGCTCTGCCACCGAACCGTCTTGCTTCATCTCGTACTTGGCGTTTGCCTGAAGGGCAGCTCCTGCCTTCTTCCACACCACTGGGGCATTGGGTTTAGTGAGCTCGCAGCGCAGAGCCACTGTGCTCCCCTCTTCTGTTTCCGTGTTCTGCAGGTTTTGCTTAAAAAGGACGGGCAGGGCTAAAACACAAAACCAGAGGTGAGGCATGTGGCATGCTGTGCCCCCCTCCACCACCATACAACGATGCTGAGACACGGTCTTCCCCTGTCACTGCAAGTAAGAAAGGTGGCCGGTAGGTTTTACCCTACTGTTACTGGAGTTTTGACTGGACATGGTGATGCATGTACAGATTGCTTTCCCTTAAAGAAGAAATAGAGACATCCCACAGGGGCAACCCCAGATACAGAATGGCACTTTGCATATAAATTCAATATCTTGCTGCTACACATTATAATAAAAAAAAACTGTTCAATTATAGCAGATGTCTCAAGCACTGAATAAAAATGTATGGCCCACTCTGTAAGCTTTGCCTAACAGTTATTTTTACCCGAGCAGTGGTCTTCTCTTCTCCAATGCTGCAGGTATGGGCTCCAGCATCTACAGATGTAGCATGGTGAATAATGAGCTCCACTACAGTACCGTGCTGCTTTAACTCATACTTCTCACCGGCCTTTAGGACAACATCCACCTTGGGAGTCCATGTCACCTAAGCCTGCAGGACAATCTGACCTGGCTACCTTCTTTAGTTTCCACATGCTGCAGTCCTTGACTGAAAAGAGCTGGCAATGCTAAAATGCAGAATTGCAGATTGTGAAGGTTCGAGACAACAGGGCTGCCCAGACATCATCTTTCCCATGTTAGCTTCATGCTGCATAAAACTTTTCAAGTCAGGTGTAGAGCCACAGACTCAAAGGATGGGACAGCATGACTCAATCCTCCAAACGGACTCTAATGAGCCGTCTCCTGCTGTCAGCTTGGCACAGGTCGAAGTAAAAATAGACGCCGTGCATTTTTTTTTTAGAGCACCTTCAATAATGATAATAATACAGGTGTCATTGAACTGCTTTGAATGTGTAAGTACAAGTTTTCTGTCTTAAAAGCTCTGAAAGCAGTGCAAGTGGGCAGATTTACAGGGATGCCAGTTTTACTTTACTGCCCGGTCGAAAGGCAATAAAGGGGCTGTACAAATTCTGCAATGCAATACAGGGGCTGTTTAAGGGCCCCCATCATAGAAGTGGGCTCCTTCAACTCCCCTCCGTGGCCCAGTGACAGGCGATAGCTATATGCAGGCCTGTTCCATGCAATAAGGCATTGGACCTATGGATCATGGGATGCATTCTGTGCCATTTTTGTCACGGCAGTTAGTGGCCCTTTCTCTGGTAGTACAATTGGCAATTGGCAGTCTGGAGTGTGAGAATTTGGCTAACACTGCAGACAGGTGTTCAGACCTAGGTCATTGCCATAAGAAAGAGAGGGGCTGGAGGATGATCCAAGATGCAGCAAGCAGGTGTGTTTGGTAATATCATTTATTAGACCAACTGTATCATTGGAAGATGTTAGACAAACTTTTGGACACCAAGCGCCCTTCCTCGGAGAGAAGGGGGGAGAGTGAAAAAAAAGGAAAAGGATTTGGAGGTGAGTTGCTGTACACATGGAGAACACAAGGACAGGACAAACAACAAACAATAGCTGAAAGATGAGTTTCCCCTCGTAAAAAGCCAGAAGGCATCTTTTCATCAGACACAAAGGGATAGCAACACAGCAAACCCTGCAATACACACAGCGAGAGGAGAAAGATGAACATGGAGGATGGAGACGCCTAGTGAGGATTCCTATACGGTCACGATGAGAGAGAGACTCGAGACGGGTTAGCGGGGAGTAGATGTCCTCCAAAGACGGTGAGCGTTTGCTGTGGAAGAGGAGACAGGAGGTAACTTCTGGCACGGAGGGGAGGGAGGACTTCTTTCAGATCCTGAACAGCAAGAAATGTTGTCGCGTGCTGGTTTCTCCTTTCACCCAGGTGTTCACCACTGTCTTCTAGGACAAGATTCGGAGAAAGCAGCCCATCTACTGGTGCATCTTGCTTGTGTCACTTGGCTGAAGAACTACAGGTCCCTTCCCTTCTTCCCCTTCTACCTCTGCCTTTAATGGGGCCTTGCCATGCTCTACCGCTTCCTCTTCCTGCAACCTCAGGAGGAAGGGACAGAGCGCAGCTTTTATTATAAAGTGACTCCACATCACACACCTCTTCTGTATCTCTTGATCCGCTGTGGGCGGTCTGAATCCATTTGCAGAAATCTGCCCCTTCTCACTCCCCCATCCACACCTTTTCCACGACAGGAGAAATGCCAAGCCCATGGTGGCGGCCATAAAACAGAAGACATTGTGTTTTGCTTTTTTCCTCTCTCACTGCAGGGAAGATCCAGTTCCTACTGGCATCAGCACATGCCATTCAATTATCCTTACTGAAAGTTGGATCAGGTCCCACGCACTGCAGAAAGGCACAGCAAATGAACTCAGCGGAGGCAGCGACCGCTGCAAATCCCATCATCCTGGCTTTTTTGCAAAGAAATCTTTCTTCTTTCTCAGGGCAGAACTTATTTCTAAATCATGCTTCCTGCACGAGTCCGACAGCCATGGGTGATCAGCGGGCACGGAGAGTCAGGCTATGATCAAAGGCATAAAAATGGGAAGGGAATATTCTTTTTTAGCTTAGGGGGGGAAAAAAAGCATGGCCACACCGTCTGTGCAACCTTGACCGTGCACAACAAATGCTTTACGTGTTGCAGTTTGTCACCCGTCTGCAGGTTGCCCGATTGAGTTAGTAAGAACACTCCTCGCATTATCAGTGCAAAGGAGAGATTAAAGTGTTTCTCTATATCAAATTGTTATTTGGACCTTTCTGCGTGAGGTGATCCTGCAGCAACCCAAACCACCGCTCCAACCTTCCTTATCCTTGACTGTAATAACCACACTACTTTTAGCTCTTCCAGCCTCGCACGTATATCTGCCACTGTCTTTCTCTTCTGCCTTCTGAATGACAAGCTTGGCTTCAAATCCAGCCCGGCTGATCTTAAACTTAGAGGAGTTCCTAAGGGTCTTTCCATTTTTGTACCATTTAACAGGGCTCTCCGATTTGGAGGTTTTGCATTGCAGAATTGCATCTTCTCCCTCCGTGACTTCCGTATCGGCGAGCTCCTTTGTAATGAGACAGGGCTTCTCTACAATCATATAAAACGGGTCTGAGATTTTCCAAAGGGATGGAGAGCAGCACATGTCTTATGCAGTATTCCCACCAAATACATGATTCAGTGTTCAGCAGTATCGGTGTCAGAAAGCAATAGTTTCAGGGGATGAGGCATAAAGCTTTCTAGAGGGACTGACCGCTGCAAGGCAAGGCTCTGACAATGCTGGGTGCAGTTTTGCAAAATCTAAAGCCCACAAATCTTTGAAGAATATGACCCAAGGAGAGGTCATTTCTGATATCGATGGTTTAATATTGGCTAAGCAGAAGCATGAACTTCACTAGGCATGGAAATTTCCCGCAATTCCCTTCAATATGAACATTAAATTTTAGGAACCTTCTGGCTAAATCTTATGCACCAGAGGAAAACCAATCCTGTCTGAAGACCATTGCAATGCAAATTTGTCCAAAGTCTATCACCTGCTAACTCTTAACTTTTCAGCCCCTTTACTAAAAAGAGAGTGAAATAGGAATGTTTTTTTGCCAGCATGACATCACAAGTTTGTGCCAGTATGTGGCAACTAAAAGCTGATTTATTTTTATTTGCATTTTTTTTTTTTCTGAGAAAGTGCAGCCATTTCTGCACAAGTTTTACAAAGCTGGACAAAGTTTTACCTTGTCAAAGTTGCATATGATTCTGAAAAAAAATCACATGGGTTTAATATGATGCAGCATAAAGCCAGCTGAGTACAGCAGATTTTTTTTTTATTAGTCCAGGAGGTATATGCTCTGGATCCTGAATGCATGCCATTTAGGCAATACAGTCTTTCTGACTCCTCTCTCCCATTTCTCAAAACTAACTTCCATTCCTAAAGAAATTCCTTTCACTACAAACTCGGTAGATTAACATTTTTCTCCCTTACTTTAATTGTCCTGGAAAAACTGGCAGGATTAAATGGCTGAAAACATCTATACTATGGCCCTACACATAATTAAAGGGGAATAAAAAGTACTTATTTATTGCACAGAACTAGTTTCCTAAGTGACTGGTCCTATCATTCTGCAATCCCAGTTCATAGAAAATTGACTGGGTTTCCCAGGGACAGACTGCATTCTGCAATTTCCTATTTAAGTTACACCAAATAAACTGAAAAAGAAAGTCTGCCCTGATCAGACAGACCCACAAGTGCACATAAGCATCTGTATCACGGATCCTAATGGACAAGCCACATTACCATCCTTCTCCCTACATACCTAAACTAGCATCCAGTTCTTGCTTCTGCTCCATTTATCTTCTACTGCATAAAGTTTTGTGTGCTCTAATTACCTTTAACAACCAAATTGGCAGTTTTTTTCTTATCACCAGCTTCAAAGGTAATGACCCCCGAATCCTTCGGGGCTGGCTTTTTCAAGGTTAGCCAGTGATATCCACCAGGCTGAGATTGGATTTCATTGAGTTCATTGGTATGGAGTGGGGTTTTGCCCCAAAACCACTGAGCAGCGCTATAGTCTACAGGAGAGATTCTGCATTTGAACACGGCAGATTCTCCTTCTACCACATGGACATCTTCCAGGTCTTCTATTATTAGCACTTTCTGGCCTGCAAGAAACATAGACACATAAATTGCTGGACTCCTTCATTTTCTAGGCACATGCGCACATGCAGGCAAGAGGCACTTCCAATGGCGTGACCTCCAGCACGAACCCTTTGGAGAAAGAAATATCTCAGGGCAGAAGATGTAAATGCAATTCCACTGTCGCTGGCCAAAGAATACGTTACCTTGAAGACAACGAATATTTACGGACAACATGCAACGAAACAGGATCGAGACAAACTCAAGGCACTTACGCACATACAACCGATTGGAAAAGATTACGGTACAATCTCTGGGTAAATGGTAACTCCGACATTCATTTCCTCCTGCAAGAGAAGTTCACCAAAAGTAATAAAAACAGAATTTGCAATATAGCGCTGGGGGAAAGATCAGGCTCTCCAGATGCCCGCAAGATATCACTGAGTGGATGTTCCTACAGCCTCCATCTCTACCTCTCATGTTTTGCTAGACTGGCAGCAGTTGTCCTGTGTGGGATCAATGGTCAACTTGTAACTGCTCTGAAAGCACCCAAAGGACACACACATGAATGAATGGGGATTTCATTTGGGAACTACAGGAATAAAAGGACATACCGGAAGTAGGCCTGGAAATTAGTAGAAGAGCAAAACACAAAAGTGATACCTAGAGGCTAAGCTATCCCTCACCCTACTGCGTGTTACAGAATACATTTGGGAAACATTACTGAATTAAAAAAAGAGAGAAAACACTACCATACTTTTCATGAACTACACTCGTATGGTTTCAGACGCTTATTTGAGCAAAATAACCATGCGTTTTCAAGTGCTAAAATCAAATATTTTCCAGGTCAGGAGAGCTGTCAGAAATCTTGCATGCTACAATAAGTAGTATGCAATAAGGCGGTGTCAGAAATCTTGCGCGCCACAATAACTCCCGTATTACCTCTTCTTCAAGACCCTGGATTCCCCGTCCGCCAAGGCAATTTGTTGTTTCTGGGTAATTCATGGATTACCCACTGTACCATTTATGTTGGCCAAACTGGGAAGTGGTGGGCAGCGCAGGAATGAAGATCTTGCGCCTGCACATGTACTATTTTTATGGGATACCTCCGCTCAACCTCACTTCTATTAACTAAACCATTCCTCTCTTCTCTCTGTTGCCATCAATTCCTTATTAACGAGAGTTTCTCTGTCATGGTGCCTCATTAGTGCAGCAGGGAGGGGGTCATGAGGAACTGTATTGTACCATCAGTTTTCTCTCCTGTATTTTTACCTCTAACCCAGCTGTTTTGCCTTGGCCACCTCTCCCCTTGATGATGCCCTACCAGAATCGCTCTGCATGCCATGCCAAATGGGTACTGCCTGGATCTGTGGTCCGCAAGCTAGGACCAAAGGCTGTAAGTGGTCCACACAGCCATCTGATGCTGCTCAAGGCTGCAGAAAATGTGGTTTTCCACAGATACCTTTTTTCTTCTTCTTTTTATTTTTTTAATGAAATGCAACATTCAGAAATATATATGGTATATATATCCACTGTGTATGAACTATGTACATGCCTGTCACAGACAGGAGATAATAAAGGGGAAAAAAAAGGAGAAGGGAAGAGGGAAGGACAGAAGAAGAAAAGAGAATTGGGAGGACTAATATGAGCTGCTCAGATCCCTTCTGACCCTACCAACCAACTATGAAACTATAATATTTCATTATCAAATATTCTAAGGACTCCTCCCAACCTACACTAACCTTTCCAGAGCAGTTAAGTTGGCTTAACATGCCTCTCTCCATAGATCCCAGCTGTGCCATCTCATCTTGTCACATTTAGACCCTTGGAGATATCCCACTCTTCCATTACAGTACTATCACCCTACATCTCACTAATAAGTCTCGTTGCAAGAATGCAATCAAGGAAGGATTCAGTGTGAAGTCCTTAGGGATATGCCCAGCTGAAACTCCACCTCAGCACGGAGGTGCATGTTTCTTCAAGGAAGACTGAGGGAGCAAAAGAAGATGCGGCTCACACATTATTACTTGCTCAACATTACTGTATGAGGGTTAGTGCAGGTTGGGGATGGCTGACTTGGATTAATTTTTTTCCTTCCTTTTTTGTGTCCTTGTGGCAAGGTATTTAGCAGAATTTGCAGACAAAGGTCTACAGATCTTGCCTGAGCCAGGTACAGTACTTCCTGCCACTTTGTCTCCTTTATGTAGAGTGACTGTAATTATTTTAGGGAAATCTGGGACCAAGGGTGCACATGCATGTGCGCAAGCATGTGCACATGCACACACACATGTACGCATGTGTGCTGGGGCAGTGCGTGGCAGCAGGCAGGGCCAGAGCAGGTGTTGGGAGTGCAGTGCCTTTCTCACCGGAGCTGGGGTTCAGGCCAGGGTCGGGGTGCTGTGCGGGCTCTGACTCATGGCTCTGGCTCTGGCCCCATCCCAGCACCTGCAGCTGCATCCTGGCCGTGTGCCCCTGGGCCAAATGGGAGCAAGTAGTCATGACCTCGCACTCTCTGCCCAGTTAGGGCCGGGTGTGGGTGAGCTGGGCTGGGCTGGGCTCTCCACGTGGGGGCTGCAATGCAATGGGCTAGCACAGGGATGGAGCCATGAGCCAGTGCAGGGCAGACACAGCCCACACAGTGCCCCCAGCCCGGCCGGCCTCTCCCCACCCTGCCACTCCCAGGAGCTGAGCCAGGCAGGACAACGTGGCACACACACATATACACACCCCAACCCCACAGCTCCCAAATTCCTGCTATTCCAGGACCTTGGCTTAAAATTTTCTCCAACGGCCGGGATGCTTAGCCGGACTAGAACATCTGGGACTGTCCCAGCCAATCCAGGACATATGGTCACTCTACCTATTAGGAGCCTCAACTAAAAGTCAGGCACCCGGAACCAAGTTGAAGCACCCAAAACCTCTGGTCATGTCAGAAAAGGTAGTCCTCTGGGCTGCAACCCAAGTGCACCCATTTCAGTGATGAGTAAACTGAGCTCAGTGTTACACACCTCCTGCACGTGATTGTTTGGCGGAGGCCTCGTCGCAGGCTCCAGCCACACTTACCTTGCACGGCCAGCTTGGCTCTGGACTGGACGTCACCGATGTCACAGGTATAGGTGTCACTGTCGCTTTTCTCGAGGTCGTTCACGGTGAGCTGGAGGAGCTCCTCTTTTTGCCTGATCTCGTATTTTTTGCTGGCCTTGAGCTCTGCCGTCCCTTTTCTCCAGGTCACCGTGGGGGCGGTTTTCTTCGTCTGGCACGTGAAAACAGCTGCGCCTTTTTCTTCGGCCCGCAGGTCTGAAAGCTCCGTGACAAAAAAGTTGGGTTTATCTGAGGAGAATGAAAAAAAAGTAGGCAAAGTCAGCTGGACCTGAGGAAGCGGGAGGAAGCCCCGTCATGAGGAAAGAGGGAAATCCTGGGATCTAGTCCCAGCTGAGGGACTATTCGTGCATTTTTTGCATTGGATACAGTGCTCACAAACAACGAGAGAGAGTGCTTCAAAGCGGGCCATTTGATGAAAATGGTCAATATGAGCTGCGAGAAAAATCTGAAGGATAGGATCGGTTATGGCAGGAAGCAGAGAAGAAGTGGAGCGTGAAAGGTTCGGGATCACACCCCTGGTTTCTTGTTCTCGGGGCCCTCAGAAAGCAGGGCAAGGGGAATCGCCGCCAAACCGCATGCACCGGAAACTGGCTCTGTAAAAACACAGGTCCTCCAGAAACCAGAGCTGACGGCACCTTTACAAACCCCAAAGGGGCTGTTAATCATCCAAAACTCACTAATGGCTTGGCTCTAAGTTAGATCCACAATAGCAACGGTGTTTCCCAGGACATCCTGGGTAACTACTACTACTAATGGCCCTTCTTTGTGGGGAAAGGTACATCCATGCCCTCCTATTTTGTCAGCCACAGACCCTTTAGTTCAAGAGACATCTTCTATTAGATATCTGCCCACCGCCCAACACAACAGGCTCCAACCAGGTTGGGACTTTGGTGCTATGGCAATATGAATATTGCATTATAACCATAAAAATAAAGGTGGACAAATGTATTTGTTTCACTCAAGGGACAGGGCCAATGCGACTAGGATTTTTTCCCTTTGATCGTATTGAGACAGTTTTTGCTAAGGAGATGCTCCACTCCTAATGTCCGCAAGAGAGCCAGGGTGCCCACGGGGATAGAGTCGAGTGTTCCCGAATGTGTTGCAACCACTGGACTGCTCTTTGGAGAATGCAACAGTATGTTTGAATGCTTTTCATTTTTCCATCTTTGAGTTTCGCTGGCTACATTTTTAGCATTTGTATTGCTCATCAGTCATGCCACCTTCAAATGCAAACCTTTCTTTCTCAGAAATTACCATTCTAATGCAATGAAAGTTTTTTTTTTAAATCATTAGAAATTATAAAAAATAAAAAGCCATTTCTCAGAAAACCAAAGGAATGAAAAAGTCTTCAAAAAACACGGACTTTTTGTGCTTTTACTGACCTTCCACCGTGAGCAGCGCTTTCGTTTTAGAGTCGTCCATCTCACACGAGTACTCCCCCGCGTCCTTTGTGGTGACGTCGTGGATGATCAGTATGGACCGTGCCCCATCCTGATGCAGGTCATATTTCTGGCTTTTCCGGATAGCTTTGCCATCCTTGAACCATTTCATGTTTCCATTGGGTTTGGAAAATTCACAGCTCAGGCTGACATCTTGGCCTGTAGATGATTTCTTATCCTCCAGGTCCTTTAAAATCTCAGGTGTTTTTTCTGAGCAGGGGGCAAAGTTATAGTTAAAAATCTGTGAATAGAATCATTTTAATTTCTTCGGTGGGGAGAGGCTTCCAAAACCTCTAATAGTCATATCACCTAATGATAGATTTCATAGATGTTCGGGCTGGAAGGGACCTTGGAAGATCATCGAGTCCAGCCCCCTGCCCCAGGGGCAGGAAGTCAGCTAGGGTCAGAGGATCCCAGCAAGATAAGTGTCCAAATTATTAATTAATAATAACCCCTTAATATAATTACAATCACTTAATAGGTTGCAGATTTACTTTCAACTGCAAGGATCTGGGGGTGGGGGGTGTTAGCTAGTGTTCATGTTCAGTGGGCACTAACTATGTGAGCTAGTAGTAAACTGAAATTAGGAGTTGTCACTAAAGAATATATTACGTGGCCACAGCTTTGCAGCCACAATTAATTGCAGATGTTGATATTCATAGGATCAGAGAAAATGAGGGTTGGGAGGGATGTCAAGAGGTCACATCTAGTCCAAAGCAGGACCAGCCCCAACTACATCATCCCAGCCAAGGCTTTGTCTACCCAGGTCTTAAAAACCTCCAAGGATGGAGAGTCCACAGCCTGAACCAATAGCCTGTCCCAGTATTTTACTACCCTCCTAGTGAGAAAGTTTTTCCTAATATCCAACCTCAACTTTCCTTGCTGCAACTTGAGCCCATTGCTCCTTGTCCTGTCATCTGCCCCGACTGAGAACAGCCCAGCTCCATCCTCTTTGCAACCCCCTGCAGGGAGGTGAAGGCTGCTATTCAATCCCCTATCGCTCTTCTCTTCCGCAGACTAAATAAGGTCCGATCCCTCAGCTTCTCCTCCTAAACAGCATTTGCACCTGTAATTATTTGTATTTATGCGTCCAGGCCCATAACGAACAGAGATGGGCTTACTTTAAGCATGCTCTAGCAACTGTTTGCCGACAGTTGTAGATAAGTATAAACTGCTCAAATATTTCCCGTCCCCACCTTTGTTCCTGTCAAAGTGAACGGGGCAATGCAGTGAGATCAGGATTCTGTCCTAAAATTTTACTAAGGCACCTTATGCTAAAAAACAATCCAGTCCTAAAGCCTCTCTGTACTCCTTACCTTTCACAATCAGCAAGGCCTTGGAAATTAAGTTACGAGCCGTGAAGACCACTTCTCCAGCATCAGTTGCAACCACTTTTTTGATGTTGAGGTTGTATTTTCGACCCTTGCTAGGGGTCCTAAACCTTCCCCCGCTTTCTACTTTAGTCCCGTTCAATGTCCACTGGAATTCACCAACGCTTTCATGGGACAAAATGCATTCAAAACTACACTCCTCTCCTTCTAGGACTTCAGTGTTCTTCAGGCGTTTAGTGATACCGATATTCAGCTCTGAAAGACAAACAGGTGGTTGCTACAATGACTTAAGAGGAGGGAAAAATGGTATTGTACATCACTAAGAGCCCTGACTATACAGAAGGGCTTTTCAAATTGCTGTAAAGGGTTGTCTTGCATGCTAGGTGGTCAGGTGTTTATATTTGAGGATTTGGAGATGATATGAACCAGAAAAGCACTGAATTCTTCACTTGTCTATTTGCCATTGCTAACAAGATACCCCCTTATATGCCAAGTGTGGCACCTTCCTCCACGTAGGTGTGGAAAAAGGGACTTGGACTCTCGCATTGCACCGATCCTGCTCAGGATAGCAAGCCTGCCCGTGGAGTGGAGTCAGCGTGGCCGGCAGCCAGAAAGGAAGAGAGCTGTCAGTCAGGGGAAGCCTTCTGGCTAGTTAAAAGTTTCCTCTCATACTGACTCTGCAAATTGGGACTTTATGGGTTGCTTTCCACTTTGCAACTTGCGGTCCTCCTGTTTATGATAGAGATAGATTTAGATTCATCCCATTAGGTTTAGCAACCTAAAAACCCCGGCAGCTCCTTCTGTCTAACAGCAGTTACAAGGACTGAAGACCAGATTGCATGGCTGCTTTTGGTTCCCCTGATGGAGTCTAAGAGCCAGTTTCTATTGCTTCTGTCTGGTGCAAATGTAGACTTGGGTGCCTACGTGCGAGTCTATTCCCCCCTGCTTGAGCCCTTGAAGAACTACTAATACAGGATGCAGGCAGGCCCTCTTGCTCCTTGCTAGGTTTTGTGCCCCAGTCTTAAGGGTCAGATGATGGCATGTTACAAAAGGAGATGTATTAATGGCTTTCCAGGGACTTCAGCAGGGTAAAAAATAATGGCACTTTCATAGATTTCATAGATTTCATAGACATCAGGGCTGGAAGGGACCTCGGAAGATCATCAAGTCCAGCCCCCTGCCCAAAGGGCAGGAAGTCAGCTGGGGTCATAGGATCCCAGCAAGATAAGCATCCAGTTTCATCTTGAAGGTGTTCAATGAAGGCGCTTGAACCACCTCCGGTGGCAGGCTGTTCCAGACCTTGGGGGCTCGGACAGTAAAGAAGTTCTTCCTTATGTCCAGCCTGAAACGATCTTGAAGTAGTTTGTGACCATTCGACCTCGTCATCCCTTGGGGCGCTCTGGTGAACAAACGTTCCCCCAGATGCTGGTGGTCACCCCTGATAAACTTGTAGGTGGCCATCAGATCACCCCTGAGCCTGCGCTTTTTCAGGCTAAAGAGCCCCAGGGCTCTCAGCCTGTCATCGTAGGGTCTGCTTCCCTGACCTCTGATCATGCGCGTGGCTCTTCTCTGGACTCTCTCAAGCATCTCCACATCCTTTTTGCATTGTGGAGCCCAAAACTGGACACACTACTCCAGCTGCGGCCTCACCAAGGCCGAATACAAGGGGAGAACGACGTCCCGGGATTTGCTTGAGAAGCATCTATGGAGGCAAGCCAGCGTTTTGGTCGCTTTACTAGCCGCCGCATCGCATTGCAGGCTCATGTTCATCTTGTGGTCAATGACGACCCCCAAGTCTCTTTCTTCCATAGTGCTAGCCAACATAGCTGGGCTATGATGCTCGCCAGCTCCTTGAGTACCCTGGGGTGAAGATGGTCAGGGCCAGCTGACTTGAAGATATCCAGCTTCTCAAGATGTTCCTTCAGAAAGTCAGCATTAAAGGAGGGCAGCGGATCACCCTCACCCGGACTTCCCGGCCCTGTAGCGGGCATGGGCGTCCCATGGGACTGATGAAAGACTGACGCAAAGTACCTATTTAATAGGTTGGCTTTTTCCTGGGTGTCAGTTGTCAGTTGCCCCATCTGTTTCAGCAGGGGTCC